CGGCCGGGCCGCCGAGGCGCAACGAGGCCATGGCGCGCGTGGAGGTGGCGGTGCTGTGCCTCATTCTGTTCCTGGCGCTGAGCGGCAACGCGTGCGTGCTGCTGGCCCTGCGCACCACGCGCCACAAGTACTCGCGCCTCTTCTTTTTCATGAAGCACCTGAGCATCGCCGACCTAGTGGTGGCCGTGTTCCAGGTGCTCCCGCAGCTGCTGTGGGACATCACCTTCCGCTTCTACGGGCCCGACCTGCTGTGTCGTCTGGTCAAATACTTGCAGGTGGTGGGCATGTTCGCCTCCACCTACCTGCTGCTGCTTATGTCGCTCGACCGCTGCCTGGCCATCTGCCAGCCGCTGCGCTCGCTGCGACGCCGAACCGACCGCCTGGCGGTGCTGGCGACATGGCTCGGCTGCCTGGTGGCCAGCGCACCCCAGGTGCACATTTTCTCGCTGCGCGAAGTGGCAGACGGCGTCTTCGACTGCTGGGCTGTTTTCATCCAGCCCTGGGGACCCAAGGCCTACGTCACGTGGATCACGCTCGCCGTCTACATTGTGCCGGTCATCGTGCTGGCGGCCTGCTATGGCCTCATCAGCTTCAAGATCTGGCAGAACCTGCGACTCAAGACGGCGGCGGCGGCGGCAGAGGCCGAGGGGACTGAGGGATCTGCGGCCGGTGGAGCTGGGCGTGCGGCTCTGGCTCGGGTCAGTAGTGTTAAGCTCATCTCCAAGGCCAAGATCCGCACAGTGAAGATGACCTTCATCATTGTACTGGCCTTCATCGTGTGCTGGACGCCTTTCTTCTTCGTACAGATGTGGAGCGTCTGGGACGCCAATGCGCCTAAGGAAGGTAGTGCCAGCGGAGAGGAAAGGGTGGTAGGGGTAGCCCTGGTTCCCCGATCTCTGTAGTTCCAAAGTTCTGGGGTCCTCCTGGGGCATGGCCTGGTTTGACATCATCATTCCCCAGCTCATAAACTTTGAGGAGATAACTTCTCCAAGTCTCCAGGACTTAAAGGTTCTGCAGCATTGAAATACCCATGAAACTACCAACTCTTGCCAGAATGCAGGCAAAATCCCCAGCATAGGCCTTGGGCAGCTTTCACTTCGAAAATCCTCAGTATGAAAGGGAAACTGAGGCAGGTGACTGTTTTTCCTACAGAGAAACAGAATGGAGGTGGGTTTCCAACCTGAGCACAGGCTCAGGTTCCTACTTTGAGTTCACTTCAAACTGAACTACTTTAAACTAAGTCAGCCTGGATCATAAGGTCAGTGTTGGATAGGGTCAACCCCAGGAAGGAACATTTGGTCCTGTGAACCCTGAAGGGATGCCCAATGAAGGCTGAATGGGTCTCCAGAGGGACCTCTATGGAGGTCAAGATAAGTTCCAGAGCCTCTCATCCTGTAAAGGCCCAGGACAGGGATGGGGCTGGGGTGCCTAGGACTGAGCCTTGTTTTTTGGGAGAGAGGAAGGGAGCCAAGATGACAGTGCTGTGTGGTTGTTGCTCGGGAGGGGAGGGGGAACCTTTAACCCTGGAGACCACTGAGATTATAGGATAGTGGCCTGCATTTGTTAGAAGCCTGGAGGGCGGTAGACTGGCATGTCTAGAGGAGGGGGCTCAGAAACAGCAGTCTGGACTCTGGACCTGTGGTTTGTGTTGGGCACCAAGTGCAGAACCCAGACAGCACCCCCGCCCCCATATCACAGCAGGAGCCTTGGTCATGGGCGGCCCCGCCTCACACCTTTGTTTTGAAGATTAGTATAGCCACATCTGGGCTATACTAATAACCCCACTTCACAGACTTGCCAGAAAGGACTTAGCTATTCTAACCCTAGATGGTGCAAAATGGTGTTATGGATATAATCACCTCTGCTGCCAACACCAAATCCCTCCGCGTGGGGAACCTAGGTTCTCAGGGCAGGTGACTCTTCTCTGGAAAACACAAACCCCTAGATTCATGGAGCCCTCTTGCTTTGCTCCACAGTGGCCAGGACACACATCACTCAGCATTTGCTGATGGCCTGTGGTATTCAGGGTGAAGATTCCCAAAAGGGAAGGCACTCTACTGGGTTACACAGAAAGTTTGGGTAGAGCATCAGCCTGAGCGGGAGTTTCCTGACCCAGGGTTCTTAGAAAGGGGCATGGCCAGGGAGCTGAGTGAGGTGTAAGACTGAAGAGGGAGTTTCTAAATAAGGCCCAGGTCTAGCTGCTCCCTCATCAGAATGGGAGGATCCTAGTACACAGGGAACTCCAATACCAATGGCTGCAGATATTAGACGGGCACCCCTTAGTTGGGCAAGCCTAGGGGATACTGACTATGTTGTAATTTTCCTTGTCTCTGTGACAAAGGCAGTTTAAGGAAGAAGGGTTGATTTAGGCTCACAGTGTGAGGGGACAGTCGTTTGTGTAGCAGCAGGTGGGAGGTGTCTGGTCACATTGCATCCACTGCAAAAGGCAGACAGAGATGAATGCTGCTGCCCAGCCCCCTGCCTATGGATGGTACCACCCACATTAGGGGTGGCTCTTCCCTCCCTGTGTAAACCTGGAAATGCCACCCTCACAGATATGTCCAAAGGTGTATCTCCCAAGGGACTAAATCCTGTCAAGTTGAAAAGGAGAGTTGACCATCACATCTGACATCTGGCCCTGCCTTCTGCACTAACTGGCTCTGAGATGCTGGGTCAGGGGACCTTTTGTCCCTTGACCCTCCATGTGTACCTCTAAAGATGAGGCCACTTCAGTGGTGGGTATTGGCTGTAGTGGGAACACCTTGGAAGAACTGGCTCTTCAGTGATCCAGCCCTGTAGAAAGCCATGGGGAAGGCTTTCTACACAGGGACACTGGGCAGCTTTTTCCTTCTTGGCCCCAGAACACCCTCCAGCTTGATTCTCCAGGTTATACATTGAAATCTGATGGACAGTTCTCAGCTGTCTTGGCTCCTCTAGGAGGGTGGTTGTGAGCACTTTTGTGCTTTGGGTTTGTATCGTGCTATTTTCCTGGGTTCTGCTGCAAGTGGCTTCAGCTCTCCAGCTCCCAAAGGTTTGATTAATGGTGGAAAGAAAACATGTGAGTGAGGCTTGCCGCACAGCCTTTTCCATTTGTCTGGTATCCGAGTGGGCTGGGAGCAGTGAGGAGGTAAAGGCAGCATGGAGGCCTTGGATCTGGAAGCTTAGTTTGCAGCTTGGGAGACCTTAGATTTGTAGAACAAAGCCTGCAGCCTGGGCCACAGCATACTCTCTGCAGAGCCTGGGTTGGGGCTGGGCCTGCTGCCTGCTTGCTTTTACCCCACCACCTTGTCCTGGCAAGTTAGAAGCCAAGAGCACCCAAAGGCTCTTCCTAGTGCCAGGGCTTAAGGGGATCACCTAGACTTCATTAGGCCCCTCTGGCAGAAGTCCTTATGGAAGGACTTATGGAAGGAGTGAGTCCCTATCAGAGACTTGATGCCACCTGTAGGACTGGAACTTCTCAATAGTGTCAGGGCCATTCCTGTCTAAGCAGCAGGATAACAGCCATGGTGGAGCAAGACTCCCTTTCATGGTGTCAGTTAGGTTAAGTGAGGAGTTAGGTGTTACCTGTGTGTGTCACCTGTGTGTGCCTGGACTCTCTCCAGTTCTCATCAAACTCAGCATGTAGATATGCCCAGTCTAACATGAGACTGATACTCAGAGACGTGACCCTTTAAGATTGTTGCTGAGTCAATAGGAGGGCCAGGATCTGACGGATGTAATCTCCTACTTGAGATGGGCTAGCTGAATTGCCTCCACTGCACCCCACTGCACCAACAAGTGGAACTGTCAGCATCAGGATTTCCTGGGCCCTTGACAAAAGGCTGGTTTGTGTGCCCCACTGAAGACCCACAGAAACAGCCGAGACACGGCCTTATTGGTCCCATCATCCTGACATCCAGGGTCACGCTGTCCCATCATGACCATGACATGGTGCTCTCAGCACCAGGTGCACCCCCTGCTCCATTGCTGGTATCCCTAAATCCCTTCATGGTCTCTGCTGCCTTAGCCCCAGCCCTCGTCATCTGTGTTCCCCTTTGCCTTTTTGGCTAGAAGCATGTCTTTTAATCTCACCACTCTTGATAGCGTGGGACAGATCACCTTGTGTGTATGTGATGGTGTGTGTATGTGAATACATGTGAGTATCTGCGTGTGTGTGTGTGTGTGTGTGTGTGTGTGTGTGTGTGTGTTATGCTCATGTGAGAGTGGGTACATGTGCATGAGTGATCATGTATGTCTGTGTAGGTTCTCATATGCTTGTATACATGTGTATATGGAAGCCAGAGGTTAACCTTATACAGTGGTTCAGGTGCCTTCTCTTTTGTTTTTCGAGACATTGTCTCTCACTGGTCTGGAACCCACCGATTCAGCTAGGCTACTTGGCCAGTCAGATTCCCCGTCTCTAATGCCGTCTCCTCAGTAGTGTGGTGCAAGCTTGTACCACTGAACTGGCTTTTCAACATGGGTGCTGGCGATCTATCTAAGGTCCTCGGCTTGTAAGGCAGGTGCTTTAACAGCTGAGCCGTCTCTTCAGCCTAATATGGTGTCTGCTTCTGAAAAATAAGGAGCAAATTTTAACAAGTACCAGGGCCTTAGGGAGCTAGTGAGAGGCCAGAAAGGTTTTGAGAGCAGGAGTAGCATGGTGGGCTGCGATAGTGGGTGGCCGCTGGCTGGTCAGGCTTGCTGCGTAGCAGAGTAAAGGTGGAGGAGTGTGTGTCTTGCTACCTCATGATGGGAAGGCTGGTGGTGAGGGCCTACCTCTGGTCTTGGAAGTGTCCCAACTGGACACTTGGTGAGGGAGAGAAGAAGAGACCAGTTAGGTGTCTGCAGTGTCCTCTTCCTGGGCTGCTTGCTCCTGAGTCCTAGCCACTGGGAGCAGTTTCTGCTTGCCCTTTCAAGCCATGCATGGCCAGAAGATGGCGCTTCCGTGCCAGGCATCTGTTCCCTTGGCCACACCTCACATCCCTCTTGCTTGTTCTTTTTCTCTGCTCACCTCACTATCCGAGTGTGAGCTTAATTTTCCCAGAGGGAATTACAATTTGAGTCCAGTCACCTTATTATCAGGCCATGTCCTGTCATCTAACAGGGAGATTGTCTTTTTGCCTTTCCGATGTGCTAGAGGAGGTGGATGATTTATCAAGACTTCCTGTCTGCTAATTTCATGCTTCAATTCAGGTCAGTCCCTTATTGAACTTTTCTTATTTTCCAGTCTCTGCTTGCAGCCAGGGCCATGGCCACAAATGGTACAGAGGCCCCAGCCAAGTCGTATAAGAAACTAATGAGAACATGATGGGTGATTCCACACTAGAAGTATTCATTTACCATGTAAAGTGGATGTTCATAGGACCCAGTGGCTGCTTCTGTTTCCCTGGGGGAGAAATCAGGAGGGTTTCAGAGAAGAAGCCATGTTTGAAAAGGTTTCTGAGGGCTGAATAGGAGTTTACTGTACAAAGAAGCAGGTTCACACTTCATAATGGAAAGCACAGACAGTTACTTTATTATTTCTCCCTGTTTATATAAGTTGGGCCAGTTGGAAAGAATTTTAGTTGTACAAAAGTCACTGAGATCCTGGTTAAAAGACTGATCTGACTGGGCATACCAGGGGTAGGGCCCCAGAGCCTGCATCTTTGGTCCATGTACAGGGGATGCTCAGTGGTACCCATGAAGCTGACCACTAACTACACTTTGAGTAGCAGAACTTTAAGACACAGTCTGCGACCTAAGCCTGCTACATGCCTCCCACATGCTTCCATATGAACTGTTCCTTGAGAACGGGGTGACATGGAAAATGCAGGAAGATCTGACATTTCTTATTCAGCCCAGCCCACCAGCCTCACATGTTGGCC